ACCGTGCATCCCTAGAACCTAGAGCAGTGTCTGGCACCTAGTAAAGGCCTCAATAGATACTTGTTGAATGAATGAATTTCACAGAGAGGGCAGCTGAGATTTGGCCTAACTAATGACAAGGGAAATCAGGGGCACAGCTGAGACTTGAAACCAGGTCTGCTTGGGCCCTAAAGTCCTCCCTCCAACCTCCTAGAGAAGGCAGAGGAAATGGGATCCTGGGCACAGATGTAGGGAGGAGACAGGGACAGGAAACAAGGGGAGGAGTGAGCCAGGCAGGCAAGGCTGTGGACTCCAGCTTTGCTGAGTGGATGGTTAAGTAGCTCCTTCTGAGAGAGAGAAGCTGGCTGAGGAGTCTGCAGGACCTCTCCATCTGCCCCCAGGATGTGATGTCACTTCAGCCTCAGAGCTGGTGGTCCACCCTCCCCCATCTTCACCCCTCTGGTCTTCCTGCCCCAGCCAAGCAGGCTAGGTTAGGTGAAGAGTCCCAAGAATGGAGCATCTTGCTCTCTCTTCACCAACACAGGATCTGATTAGCCCAAGAAGATCCAGCCCATGGGAGGAATAGTGCAGGACCTCCTGTGTCACAGGCCCCTGCAGAGGCCCACTTCCTCTCTTGAAACAGCCACTCCCAGGGAAGAGTTAGAAGTGAATTTAGGGGTCCTGGGCTAGTGCATCCAGGAAGCACTGTGGGCCCTTCCCAGCCCTGGCCTTGATCAGCTCCCTCATGGACCAGACAGACATCAAACTCCATGGTCTTTTGCTTTTTTATTTATTTTTTTAAATTAAACTTGTCTCTGTCCCCTAGTGGGAAATAAATATATGCTCCTTCTAAAGAGAAGATGTGGAGAAACCGAGATTAGAAGAAAGAGAAGGCAATAGATGAGAAACCACTTTTCTTATATGGCGGCCCCTCCTGGCCTAGGGCCCTGGGCTCAGCAGTGGGTACGGACCCTCTCGTCCCTCAGAGGCCATCAGCTCTGGTCTACAGGGGTCACCACAGCCAGCTCAGGCTTCCCGCCCCCATGGGTTTCAGGAAGAGCCCTTGAGCCCCACACTTGTCCAAGTGATGCAGAGAGCGGAGCTGACGAGAGTTGCTATATTTAATTTTGTCATCTGCGTCACTGGTGACCACACGGCAGCATCTGCCCAGGCAGCGTGCGGGTTGGCGTTTCTGAATGACACTTTGAGAGAATCACTTTCCACAAGAGAAGACACTCAGGAGGGGAAGGGAGAGAGCGCAACAGAAAGTGAGGTTGTAAGTAGAAAATCGCTTCTGGGATTTCAAATGGCTTCGTCATGGGGCCCTCCCTTGCTGCCGAGAAATCAGTTGATCTGGGAAAGTTTGTTGCAAACCCTCTGCTCTGTTGCTTTTGGGTGGAGCCGAGAAACGAGTGAAGATAATGAGACTTGGTGACTTTTATTTTTCAGAGTAGGAGTGGGCAGCATGTGTGGGAGGGGTTCTGACACCAGCTTGGACCTCTAGAAAGTCTGGGTCCCTGGCCTGTGTGTCCCAGGCCAGGCTGCCCTGTCTGCACACAGCCTGGGCCTTCTTAGAAGGGAGTCAGCTCAAAGGAAGAGCGGTTTTTGAGTTTGCTCAAACTGACCAGTGAATTAAGATCATAAGCAAAGGCACTTCCCTGTTGATCATAACGAAAAAATGATAAGCTGATGGATTCGATAAACCCCAGCCTTCAAGCTGCTGGGTCACAAGGAAATGAGATGCTGGCCCTTGTCCTCCTGGGTCCTGAGCAGTTCAGACAGACAGCCTCAGAGGAACCCCTGAGGTGACTCGGAGTCTTTTCTGACACCTCATCTGAGCAGCAAACAGAGGTGTTTGGTGCCAAGTTCACTGGAAACTTGAGTGTATGTCTCACTTCCCACTTGAGCCCCAGCCCCTCTTCCAGTGAAACCTCCCAGGCCTGGGGTTCCCGGGGTGCCAAGGGGCTCCCCACCCTGGGCCCCACGACCAGTATCTCCCTCCCACTCACCAAGCACTCTGTCTCTTCCTGACGCCCCTTCTCTCTGGGCCTTGCTCAGGGTTTGCCTTGTGCCTGAGAGGAGTGAGACCACATGGTTAGAGAAAACTCCCAGCAGATACCTGAGGGGGTCAGTCCCCAGGTAGTGATGCTCCCAGCTTCAAGAGCTGACACATACCTTTTTTTCTCTCTTTTCTTTATCTCTCATTCCTGGCTGGGCCCATCTTCCTGTTGCCGCCAGCAGAGGCTTGGTTCTGTGGTTCTGATAGGTCTGTCATTCCTGGAAGGCCCCAAGCTCCTTCTGGCTCACTGCCCACTGCCAGTAACCACAGGCTCCTGTCTGGGGTACAGTCTTGGAAGAGGAGGTGCAGGCAGGAGCTATGGGTGGTTGAGGATGTGGTGCGCTGCAGACCCCTAGTGGTGGGCTCTGGTGGCCCTGTTGGCACTGTGCACCCAGTACGGCTTGGAATGTATCGTTGGGAAATCATAAGAGACCCTCCTCCATGTCAACCTCAGTTCCAGCCTCTGTTCTTGGAAAATTCACATGGAATCTCACCAGAAATCTTTCCATCTTCCTTTTGGACAGTCAGGCCAAGGCCATGGTTGGGCAGAGAAGACATGGGTCAAAGGTGATGCTACCAGAGAATGGATCACTAAGTTTTGTAGTTTTAAAAAAAATATACATTCTTCTGGCCTTAAAAATCCTCAAATCTCTGGATGGAAGGATAGTGGAGATCTTGCCCCTTACAACCACCCTTGAGTTTGGAATCTCCTATCCTCCCAGAATAGAGCATCCATCTCCAGACTCTCTGTTGTTTAAAGACTTCTTTCTGCTTCTAAACTTTAAGTGCATGTGGTGTCTTGGTCATCTCTAGCCCAGACAGTTGGTGTGGTGCAGGCCACAAGAACAGTGTGACTTAACAGGTTCTGAGACCTCTTTGGCACAGAGACAATCACTTCCCACCCTGGACAGCCGGTGAGACACCCAGCTCCCGTGCCCCATCCCAGGTCTTTCCTCCCCAGCTCAGCATCCCCAGATCCCTGCATAGTTTATCGTGGCTTCTTCCCTCGCCTCTGTCTGGGTGCATGTGAGAGGTCCACTCTATTTGAGTGGCCCCTGGAGCAAGCTGCTGTGGTCATCTGCACCCTGGACAGGTCCTGCTGTGGCCTCTGTTGCCTGACTCACTCATGGTATGAGCTCTCCTGGGTGGCTGCCTCCACTGACTTCTGGGCATCGCTGTAGGTGTTCTCACAGGGCTCTGGGCTCCCCAGGGAGGGCGCCTGCCTGCCACTCAGCATTTAAGACTGATCTCTGGTGACCCACCACCCACTCACTGCAAGAGGCATCCTGTCCTT